CTGCCTTCCTCTCCAGGGTGAGAGGACAGGCACTGTGGCTTCCATTCCAGTCACATACACTTGGGTAAGCAAAACAGGACAGGGTAGCCATAGCTCCAACTCACTGTGTGGCAAGTCTATTAAATATGCCATTTCTGGGCCAATGGTGGAAGAAGAGAACTAACTTCCCAAAGTTATCCTCTGTCCTCCACACACAGAGTGTGGGGCACTTCCACATGGAAAAAAAAAAAAAAAGTTAAATTTAAAACCATTTCCTTTTCCTGATGTCCCTATGAAATGCTCCCCTCAGGCTGCACATTAAGGAACTAGGGGGAAGGAGGGAAGGAAGAGCGCTCACTTAGGTCACACACTGAGGCAATCAGGACTCCAACCAGATACGACCCACTCTGAAGGCAGCAAGGGAGAGACAGCCAGCTCTCGGCTCTCGGCACCTGCTTACTCAAGTGCTATGAAATGCTTTCCTGAGCACCAGGCAGCGAGTGCAAGGTACAGTCGATAAGTCTGCCCATGCATAAGAGCCCCTGAACTGTCGCATGTCCTTGTCCTCTCTCTCAAAAGGGACTTCACCCATATAAGCAATGAATCCAAGTCTGATTTCTTTCTTTTTGAGGTGGGGGAGAGGAGGTAATTTTTTTAGACAGGGCCTCTCTATGTATCCCTAGAGAGCCTGGAGCCCCACTGTGTAGACCAGGAAGGCCTAGAATTCATAGGGATCCACCTGCTTCTGTTTCCCAAGCAAAGGAGTGCACCACTGTGCCCAGCTCTAAGTCTAACTTATACACTGTTGTCTGTGGTCCAAGGCTGCTCCTTCCTCATCAAGCTTTTGCAAGGCAAAACCCAAAAGCTTCTGGCAGAGTGCATGGCACATGGCTAGGGCCCCCTAAACATCTCCACCTCCTTACACTGAAACATTGATCTGTGACTGCCTAGAACGGCATCACACTAGCTGATCCCAAAGCTGGCGAACGCGTGGTATGGCCTCTTCTGGCCTTCCATAACCCACCCTCAGTCGGAAGACCTGCTTCAAGCCCCTATAATTGCGGACCTGTGGGTTGATGCTTCTTTCTGAGAAACCCAGTCTCACACAGACCTGCTGTTCATGCAGTTCACTTGACCTTGTGAACCCAGGTCCTCCTGGAATAAAAGAGGCTGAGTAGTCCCTGTTTCTAGATCCTGGTCAGTGACAGCGGTAGACGGCCACCATGCCACAAGGTTGCACCCCGGGATGCAGACTGCAAACACACACTTCGTTCCACTGCCATGGGGAGGTACTAGACCAAGAACACTTGAAAAGCCTAGAGGGTGGAACCCAGCTCAAGCCACAATGTTCCCTTCCACATCCTCCACAGCTCATGCTTATGACGGACGTACAGTTACATTAAACACTTTCTCCCTGATCAACAGCAGAGAGTGACAAGGTGTCTCTCTCCCCATGTTGCCCAGGCTGGACCTGAACTTCCTGAGTAGCTGCAGTTATAGGTGTGTGACAATACCCAATTTTCCAAGCTCTGTCAGTTCTAGGCCCCTCAACAACAGAAGCCAATGTTGCCCATGTGTGTGTCTGCCTTGCTCACCACTGCCTCCTCAGCGACAGCACACAGCAGCCTCATGATGCCCACATACACCCTGTAGCTTTAGACGGGCAAGGGGGCAAGAGGCCTCGTAATAAGGACATCCTTCTCTGGCAGGCAAGGTTCTGAAATGTCAGGTCCCTTGCCCTGTGTCTTCCTCCCTCCTCCACGGAATGTAACAGTGTAGAGCTTCCAAGTTATAAGTAGGAAGCTCTACCTTAGTCTTAAACTTGTGATCACCAGCTACTTATCAAAGCAAGACTCTGGCTAGATTTACCTGAACAGGGCTTAAACACACATGGGGACTCTTAGTTGAATTTTTAAGTTATAGTTTATTTATTGATTGGGGAAAAGGAGGCGGAACTATGCGAGTATGGCGTTTAGAGGTAGACTTGGTTTTCTCCTTCTGCATATGGGAACTGAACTCTGCTCCTCAGGCTTGGCAGCAGTCACCTGTAACCACTGAGCCTTCTCTCCAGCATCTGAACTATGCATCTTAGTCACAGAAGGAGACCAAGGAAACACATTAGTATCTACCCCATGATTTCCCCTTTTAACAATGGAAGGATCCTCTTCTACCGCTCCTGTCAGCATACCTGCCATTTAGAGTGACAGCTCCTGAGGGCCTCCTTGGCCCTTTCGGTGCTACAGCCCCACCATGGAGTGCCAGCATCTTAAATCTCAGAATAATAACCCCCAAATCTGAAGCCAGAGCTTGGTTAGGCAAAGTGCTTTTAAACTGTGAGGCACTTAGAGACAGTGGTAAGATTGTCTGCTAAGGGAATGCAAATGAACTCCATTTGCCTAAGTGTCCTTAATAGGGATGGTGAACCTGACTCCAAGAAAAATCAGGGACTCCACTCCAAAGCAAAATGAATTTAGAATTTCTGGCCTCTCTCCCCTCAGAGGGGAAACTGGAGCTCGCTGTGTGCCCTACCACCTAGCCCACTAAAAACAAAGCCACGATGAGGCCCCACTCTGCCGCTTCTGGCTTGTCCCACTACCCACACCAGAACACTGGATCATTCTATCATGGTACAAATCTGACAAGAGGCAGTCAGAAACTCCATAGGGGTCTGGGGGACACAAAGGACAAGTTAATGAGAGAATGGCTGCCAAACCCCAGGTGGCTAAGCTCATACCCATCCCAGAACACTCTAGGCAATCTCCTGTTTCTTTTTGAAACAGGGTCTCACTGTTGCCCAAGCTGGCCCTGAATGCCTTAAACAGCTGAGATTACAGGTGTGTGGAACCACGGCCAGCCTTCCAAGCCATATCGTTCAGTGTCAGGTACTATTCTAGGACCCGGACAGACAGGAACAGAAAACACACGACCAAAATCTCTGCCCCCAAAGAGCTATGGGGCCCACAGGCCATAGTACTGCCTCACAAGGGCACTATCTAACAGGAAGAGCCACACCACACGGTCTGCAGAAATAAGTGCCTAACCCTCCCTCGTCGTATCTGAGCATTCCCATCATGTTTGCTAAGCACACGGAAGATCACGGGCGCCTGCCAGGCATGCTTCCATGTCCACGAATGATGTCCGCACAGGCTGAACACGGCACAGTGAATGCCCCAGCCTTTCTTCACCTGTCGGCCCGAGAGAGCTAAAGCCTAGAGGACTCTGTGGAGTCGGACTAAGTCCCATCTGGCCACTCCACCATCATCTCCCGCTTTGGCACTGGGAGCACACCTAGAAAACTTCACTCTACTCTTCGAAGTCTCACTCAAAACTGTCCTGGGAAGTCCTTCTCCATACAAAGTTCAGGGTCCAGAGCACCCTTACGAAATACAGCCTTACCTATGTTTTTAATCAACATATAGAAAGTTTATTAGCCAATCAGAATTAGTCACTCCCCCAATTCAGTTGCTGCACCCTTGGTTAAACAAGAAACAGGGCTCCTCAAAATCACCTAGAGCCCAAAGTCCACTCCCAAACATCTACCAGGCAGGAGGGGAGCCTCCCGCACCCCAGGCTGTGATAGACTAAGCAGGTGGACATCCTTCCCTCTCAATCAACCTTACAAGGCTTCCTTGATCATGTGAAGGAGTTCTCCGACCCTAGAAACTGGGCCTGCTCTGTAAGCATCCAGGTGGATTGAGGGAGGTGCAGGGTTATGGGGGAGACACATCTAAGGCTCCTCAAAACAACTTGCTAGCATCATGTACCTGACTTCATTACCAAAACAAACACCACTAGCTGAGCCAGAGAGCTAAGTCTGGGGGCGGTAAGTTTGGCTCACCTGATCAGAAGTACCTCCATAATCAGCAGTTCCAACCCTTACAAGCTGACAGTTCAGGGGGAAAGGGAGGCTGCGCCTGCTAGGGTGCATCGTGTCCGGGCCATATGTTGGGCTCCGAGCTCGGTGACCCCCAGGCCCAGGGCTGTGGCCTCACAAGAGCGATTGTGCGTTCATCCCTGCCCGCTTGGCTTACCCACTGTCAGCACTCTGCACCCCACTCAGGCACGGCGCCCCACAAGAAGCGCTGCACTAGCCTGCACCGAGGCGGCGGCCACGGGAAATGCCCTGCTCTGCCTTCCGGGCACACAGATGCCGCCCTTCTCTCTCTCTCCCTCGCTTGCTCGCTCACACCACGTTCTCCCCAGCAAGGGGCAAGCCTCGAGCCTAGAGAAGGCAGCAGCACTCAGACCACCCCCACCCAGGCTGGGGCTCTCCCCCGCTCGCCAGAGACTGCCAAGAAGAAGCGTCCTAGGAACAGGGGAGGGGACACCTGAGTCAAGAGCAGGACACGGAGCAAGCAGGGTCTTGATGGGAGGGTGAGATGGAGACAGCGTGGGGCTGACGCAGGCTAAGCGAAGTCGTGAGAAGTCTAGGGGTAGGAGAAGGCTAGGGCCAGGGGCAGGGAGGTGCAGGAAGGGGACACAGAGGAGAGTCCAGACTTGAAAACCACGGAGAGAAGATTCTATGAGCGTGAAGAAAACAAACCTAGACTGAGGCCACTGCAAAGGGGTTGTCGAGGTGCAGGCTGGGGCCATGGAGAGGGGAAGAGTTTTGGGGAAGGGGGCCTAGCCTGGGCCACCGCAGCGAGAAGCACCGTCCTAGCCTGGACCCTGGGGCCTCGCGAGGTAAAGGAGCCTAGCTCAGGCCATGGGATGAAGGCCTGCTAGAGGGGTGCCTGGTCAGGCCCCTGAAGGAAGGAAGGTCTAACCTGGGATAGGCGAGACTAGCCTGGACATGCTGGGGGAAGAACGGAGCTCCCCCTGGAGCCCAGGGCGAGGTCACGGGACACCCGGGCCTCCCGCCAGCCCCTCCGAAACCGAAGAGAGGCGTCTACCTAGGGTCCCGAACCCCGCCCCTCCCCCACCCCGGGTCCCCACCCTCCCCGGGCTGGCGGGTCGGCGGGGGAGGAGACGCGAGTTCCCGCAGGGGGTCCCGGGATGGGGCCGTGGGGGTGTCCCTTTACCATGGTGGCGGCGGCGGCGGCGGTCCCTGTCCCGGCGTCTGTGGCTCTCCCCCCCGCAGCAGGGCCCGGCGCTTCCACTTCCCCGGGTGCCCAAGAGTGAACATCCGGGTCAGCGCCCCCCTCCCCCCTCCCGCGCCAGGCCGCCACCACCTTCCTTCCCCGCCCCGGCCAGCCCGGCCCGCCCCCCACGCCGCCAGCTCGCGGCCAATGAGCGCGCGGGGCCGCAGCGATCGCCAAGTAAGGAGCGGTGCGCGGGGGGCGTGGACGGGGGCGGGCCCGGCGGTCGGGTGGGCGTGTCCTGCTGCGGGAGGGGCGGGCCAGGCACGGTGCGTCTGTGAGGCGGGGGCTGCCGGCTTCCGGAGGGTCCAGGGCAGCCCGTGTACCCCATCCGACTGCCAGCCTCGCATGTCGCGGCTGCAGGACGCGGGTAGCTGAAGGTGGAGCGGTTCACCGGTCCCTAGGCGGAGGATGCGGAAGGCGCTGAAACTAGCGGAGGACCGGCCCTCCTCGCCCCACCCGGACCCGGAACTGGTGCGCCGGACGAGGCCCGGCCCTGAAAGAGCGAACGGAACCTGCAAGGGGACGCCGGCCCGGCCGCCCCTGTTGCTGAACGCCTGCTATCACTACCAGGCTTGCAGCCTTTAGGTACCAAAAGATGACAGGTGGATAAAGATCCCTGCCCGCACTTGATGGCTACCAGACAGCGTAGTTGTGAGGAAGGCACGGGTAAACATTGGCCCAATAAATGCCGGCTGTTACGTGTACTTTTTTTTTTTTTTCTTTTTTTTACATATCTGCAGAGAATCAGCACGTTTGGCTAATGTACTTACTCGCTCCGTATGGTGACTCAGAAATCCCTCTTTGTTTTGGGGAATGAAGAGTGAACTTAGAGTCTTAGACATGCTACTCTAATTCTCTTCCACTGAACCGCAGCCCCAACCAGAAAGTAGCTGTTCAGAAGAACATCGAATTTCGTTTTGTTGCGTTATCTAGAACGCAAGACACATAGAATGCAAGTCTTGTTCATAATACCTCCCTACACGGCTTGCTCACCCTCTGTAATCAAGTCATAAGATCAGTAAAAGGGGATCAGTAAACTTCATTCGAGGCAAACTCCACATCCAGCTGTGTCCCTCAAGAATGGCTTAAACCAGTATTACAGGAGTTCAGAAAAGGGAGTGGCACTTAGAAAGTCATTACTCCCTAAGTATTTATTGTTTAGCTATTGGCCAAGCACTGTGTAGGCAGACTGTGGAGATTACAGCTTTGAGCAGAATAGCCCATGTTCAGCATAGAGCTTATCATCGAGATTTCTGTTCTGGGGATGGAGTCTCCCGCATACTGGATAAGTGCCCCTGCCCTGAGTTCAGGCCCTGTTGAGCTTAAATGCTGGCAGGAGACAGTTACTCATCTTGGAAAGACAGTGTTGGGGGTGAGATGTAGAAAAACAGAGTGGATGGAACAGGTAGATAGACAACCATTTTAGAGATGGTCCAAGGGGCCTTTAACTCAGGAAGTAACATTTGATCAGAGAGCTGAAGGCGGCGGTGGAGAAGGCCATGTACCTAGCGTAGCCACACAGAACAGCAGAGATCCTGGCGTACCCACAGACAGCAAGGAGGCCACTGTGGCCAGCCGGAATTGTGTCAGCAGAGAGCTTCAGGAGCAGCAACAAGCTCTGACCTAGGTCCCCAAAGACCGTAGCCTGCTATGGGCTGGACTATAGGGTGAATAGACAGGGTACCAGAAAGCAATTTGTGTGTCCCAAACATTATAATTTAAAAAGCACCGTGTAGGGAGAAGGCTCATTTGGTACAGTGTACTGAGATACCTGAGTTTGATCCCCAAAACCCATGTAGAGTCTGGCACTGGAGAAGCTGAGACAGAGTGATTTCTGGGACTTGCTGGCCAGGTAGTCTAGCTCCAGGCCAGTGAGATGTCACCATAGACAGTGTCAGAGGAATAGTACCTTCGGTAATGCTTTGTTTTCCAAACACATGCATTCCTGCATGCAAACAAACATAATGACACATGCACACACACATGTTTTGTTTTTTGAGACAGAATTTCTTTGTGTAACACAGCCCTAACTATCCTGGACTCACTTTGTAAACCAGGCTGGCCTCAAACTTACAGAGATCTGCCTGCCCTGCCTCCCGTGTGCTGGGATTAAAGGCATGCACCACCACATCTGGCTCCACAAAACAAACAAACAAAAAAAAAAAAAAATTGAAAGCACTGATTTGGAGGTTAGACAGATGGCACTTTGTGTAGAGCTCTTGCTGTGCAAGCATAAGAGCCATAGCATATAAAAAACAGGTACAGTAATGCATATCTGTAATCCTCGAGGTGTGTGAGAGGCAGGGGGATCTCTGGAGCTTGGTGACTAGCCAGCCTGGCCAAATGGCAAACTCGAAATTCAGGGAGCGTCCTGGTGTGGTGGTGCGTGGCTTTAATTCCAGCAGTCAGGAGGTGGAGGCAGGAAAACCTCTGAGCTCAGGGTCAGCCAGGGATAAATAGTGAGGCCTTGTTTCCAAACAATAAGAGAGCAAGATTGAGGAAGAACCTGACATAGACCTTTACCCTCTATATTCATTCTCACAGGCCAGCACACCTATACATATGCATGCACTCGTACATTCTTCAAACACACACATACACACATATATAGACCAATATGAGGCTTCCTCTGTGGTGGATTCTGTTAAGCCCTTTCCCTCGTACAGGGCACCCCAAACATAAGGAACCTCTCCAGAGTTGTGCAGCCAAGATGAAGGGTATTGGAAAAGGCAGCAAGCACTATATTCTCAGGTTTGCTGATGTGTTACTGGCAATGGGAAGCAGGAAGGAGTTCAAGATGTTCAGGATTTGAGTACTTCCACACTGAAAAGATCTGCCATTGAACTGGGCGAGGCTACAGGAGGGATAGGGATGAGGTGGGCTAGGGAGTGGGACAGTGAGAGCATCTTTGAGTCAAGTTATAGTTGAGATGCCTGTTGGAAACTTGAGTGGAGAAGCCCAGTAAGGAACTGGGTGTGGAAGCCTGCTGCTAGTGAGTAGCATATGAAGGTATTTAAACCCCATGATGTTGGGATGGGCTCACTCTTGGTGGTAGGTGTAGAGAGAAGACGTTACGAAGATAAGAACGAACCCACAAAGCAGATATATTATCCCTCCAAAAAGCCAAGGGATAAGAGCATGAACTAAGTGACACCTGAAGAAAAGACTGACCAGAAGCCTTATCCAGCGAGCTTTGTCTGGAGTTTCTCAATCTGTTTCAACGTTGTAGGATCAGTACTATTTATAATCCTCAGAGGACCTAAGCAATGTGCCCAAATCTATACGAGTTCAGTTCGAGGCAGCCTAGAGCCAAGTGCCGGCAGTGTGAACACATTGCTTCTGTGCCTAAAACCCTTTCAGAGGTTCCTCAGACCGGCTGGAGGCTGGGGGAGGTGGCTCTAGGGTAAAGTGCTCACCACACATGCCTGAGAACTTGGGTCTGTATCTCCAGCAGCTACATAAAAGCTGGGTATGTGTGTGGTGGTGGTGGGGTGCTCCTGTAATCTTAGTGTTGGAGAGGCATAGAAAAGGCTCTCTGGCTGGGCGTGGTGCCGCACGTCTGTAGTCAGTCCCAGCACTCAGGGAGGCAGAGGCAGGCCAAAGATCTCTGAGTTTGAGGCCAGCCTGGTCTACAAAGTGAGTCCAGGACAGCCAAGGCTACATAGAGAGGAAAAAAAAAAAACCAAACAACTTGGGAGTTGGTAATGCAGTGGCTTCTGTCCTGATGCCACACAGCTTCAGATTATAAAATACAGTTACTGAGTAAACCCTTCTCACTAAAGTACGTTTTAATCCGGTTGTTTCCTGGAGGTGGGCGGGGGCACAAGTACACCTCTTCCAGAGGACCCAAGTCAGACAGTTCTCAACCACGTGGAACTCCTGCCCCAGGGGAATCCAACACTGCTCTGGCTTCTGCGAGCACCCACACACGTGGCATGTACACATACATAAAAATGTGGTGGTGTTGTTTTATTCAGGACAGGGTTATTTGTGTAGGCCTGGCTATCCTAAAACCTAGACCAGGCTGGCCTTAAACTCACAGGAACCCACCTGCCTCTGCCTCCTGGGTGCTGGGATTAAAGGTGTGTGCCACCACCACCTGGCAAAATGTAATAAATCTTTTTAAAACTTTTAAGACTCTAAAAATACATCTACATGGTGGAGAGTAATCTGATACAAGCCCCGGCCCACGTGTGAGCATGCATACATGAATATGTACACACATATCACACAACCTTGTATAATTTAAAAGTTTCTCATAATAGAAGGGCACGGGACCCCTCGGGTTCAGCGGTACATACTCCATCTCTGCCATGGAACCCCATTTCAGCATATTTATTTTACATGGGAAGCAGGTGTACAAACTTCCTGCAGTGGGCTTTCATGAGTCAGTCTTCTGGGTGGGTTTTGGGGGGACTGGGTTCGGGTTGTCCAGCTTGATGGCACATTGCTTTGCCTCTGTGCCATCTCACCAAGGCCCTATTTCTGCTGCTTCTGTTGCCTCTGCTATTAGCTGGGATCCTCTCCTCGGCTGGCTTCCAGCCGCATGCTGTCAATTCTTTAAGGTATATGGGGCCCACTCTGGTGACCTTTATCTCTCCTTATTCTCTGCACCAGCTTCTATTACCCAGCAATGGTAATGTCTTTCATAGTTCAGATTCCCAAGAGCAAGTCTGATTGGCCAGTTCATCTTTCATTCACAGGACAGGTCATTAGCTCAGTCTGCAAGTTGGCTGCCCATATGGCAGATCCCACCTCTACGTCTGTCACCAAGTGCTGTGAGCATGAAGGCTGCACATAACAGCCCACAAGGCTCTGGGTAGAAATACCAGAAGTAGGTGCATGCATGTGTAGCCCAGAGGTCAGCTCTGGGTCTTAGAATGGCCATCCACTTTTTTTTTTTTTTTTTTTTTAGATAGAAGCTCATTGTCCAGGAGCTTGCCCAGCTAGGCAGGGCTAGGCCAGGCAAGCTGGCCAGCAAGTTCCAGGCATCCTGCTGTCTCTGCCCCCCAGTGCTAGAATTCCAACTGCATGTGACCATGTTTACTTTTTATATTTGTTGTGGTGACTGAATTCAGGTCCTTGTGAATGTGA